TCTTACAGTTCCTATGGAAAATAGTCTGTATAATTCTAGATTGCTGTCTGCACAGAAGCGAATCTCATCCTAAATGTGTAGTTTAATTCAGTGTGCCTTAACCTTTCCATGTTTATTCATCTATAATAATATATTCCTTAAAGATTTCTTCTAATGTTTTATGTATTTGAGGAATATAATTTAAAAAAAGAAAAACAAACAAACAAAAAACCAAATCAAAACAAAAAAACCCTTCTACTTTTTGAGACATAGAACTACTTTTTTGAACAGTTGCCTCATAGTATTCACAAAACACAAGTTTTAATCAATGATAAGTATGTATTTTACAGACAGCATTTGATCCAGAACAGTAAAAGCTGAAATTTTATTTTACCTAAGTTACTTGTATTTATTTTAATTTACATTTAAATCACATTGTTATGTAGCCTAGTACCCTGTTCATTTTCATGTTTCATCTTCTTGCTAGCGTTTATTATTACTACTAGATCAGTTACTTAATTTTTATTCTATTTCTGCTCCATCAAGCACATACTTATATAATTTATTTGCTCAACTCAAGTGCTTATGTTTTGAGATACTGACTTCCATTTTGGACTCATTTTCTCCCTTCCTCAGTCAATTGATAATTGTCTGAAATTTATTGACTTCTTCAGCTGTATCAATAGCATTTTCTGTTTAGTAGTGTCAGCAAAGTGTAGATACCCAGAAAAATCTTGCTCTCACTATAGAATCATACACAGTAATTTTGACCCAGTACTGAACAGACTGAATGACCCCAACACATTAGCTCTACATCGGTTTGAGACAATAAATCAAAGTCTTCTATACTTTTCTTCAATCTCAATAAAGTCTTAAAACCTTGATAAATGTTTCTCCTGAACTTTATGGTAAAATTCAGGAAAATCAATGTACACGTACATACTCTCAAGTTTGCATGTAACTTCTTAGGCAACCTCATTTTCTACCATAAATCCCATGCCCTGTGTATCCCTGTCAAGCAATTCTGTTTTATAGTACACCAGGGTTTTCCCATGTATTTAGGATTAAAAAGTAAAATGGTTGTCATAAACAAGGCAAAGATAAGGAAAATCAGAAAAAAATGTTTTACTTGTCTCAGCAAAACATAACCAAGAGACAGTCTGCTACTTCTACAACTCCAACAATAACCAGGTAGGGTCTTCCATCTTCACTTTAAAAAAAAAAGACTAGAAACACTTATTCACCCTACCTTCTACACAAACTATTTCTTCTTTGAGACCTCTTTATATAAAATTATTCCTGGAATGCAAGTTTAGGCTACTGAAGTCTGGATCCAGTAACGTGAATCTGTGGATGATTTTCGGAGAAACCTGTTTGACAATAACATTATTTTCATCATAGTTCAATTCATAATACGAGCATATATTGATTTCATAAATATTTTTCCTATTTGGCTTCTGCATATAAAGCTGAAATTCAAGAAGAGTGCATATCAACCACAAATGCCAATGACAGTTATAGCTGTGCTCATTTCAAAGCTGCAAAACTGGTTGTCTTCAGTGATCTGTTCCTTCTTCATCTCTTTGTCACTCCTGGCACTCAAGAGTCATCAAAAGTGGACCACTGAAAGCAGAGTTAAGTCTAGGGTAAGCTAGCATCAAAAAAACTGCTGATACTGTTGTCCCACCTACTTGACTAAAGGCTATGTTTTGCTATCACTATTTATCTTAAATGTTTTTCAAAAGAATATTCAATCCTCCTTTCACAAATATGGCGTTTCAAATCCAGCTGTTCATTAGAGGCCATTACTTGTGATGCTGCAATTTACCAACACACTCTTAATCCAGCGCAATGACTTTTCTGAAAGATACATTTTGTTTTTGTCAAAGACACCAATATAATAAAAATAAAAGACAAACAAAGGACGTGGAAGGCCAAATGCTAATGCGATTTTTAAGATATTTTTTTTAAGAGATTTGCTTTTTATCGTAGTCATAAGGAGGGTACGGTTGTCATATTAATCCTTGGTCTGGCTAAAGGGACATCTCTTTCCACTTCCAAAGGTGACAGAAAACCTGACCTCCATCTAGACAGTACAGTTTCATGAATAATTGATTTGCACATTCAATCTGATAGTGGAAAGATGAATATGAATATCCTGCTTATCTTAAATGTAAAATGAAAAAGCTAAATCTGCTTCCAGGTTAAGCATTTTTTTGAATAGTTCCATTGTCTCGCATTCCTTCTGGTAAAACTTCATCATTTATTCAGTAACTTAGGCGTCTCCAATGCATTAATTGTGTAGACAGTAACCTAACAGACAGCCCTTGTTTTGTGAGTATAATATTCCTGGCACATACTATAATTATCTAGCTTCTAAATAACAAAGAAGGAAGACCTGAAAGCAGAATCAATTGATTAATGTAAAAATTAAACACCACATTTGAATGAAGGTCCTTTATCACCACTACCCCATGCAATGTAAGGACTTGTGCCGTCACCACATTTAAAAGTTTTATAAAATATTTTAAATAAAATTTTGAAATCCATAGGCAAAACGTTATAGTTTCAAAGGACAACATCAATAGCAATTAATTCACAGTCCCAAGACACAGATAAGCAGCTCTTACTGCTTATCTTCTGGTTGTTCTCTCCTTAGTGTACACCGAGCATGGACTGGTATCATTCCTAGCTGACAACTACCAAACAGACTATGCATCACTTTTACAATGTGGAAGACAATGAGAGAGCATTTTCTCTGAGATTAACAAACTATGTCTTTTCCTAAACTAAATTAGGCAAAGTAGGGCTTCTATTTTTCTTGAACAAATTAGGGTTCTGATATCATGGTAACAGAGAACACGGGGTAAAAAATAAGGAGGCAAGGCAACAAAGTTAAGCTGATTTGATCAAGATCAGAAGCTGATCTTAGACCTTGAAATGAACTTCTCTCAATGAAAATTATCTGTAAACTAGCACTTTACTACAGTACAGTGAGTATTTAATTTCTTAAAGTGTAGTTCAAAATTTCCTTTTGTTCAAACAATTACATGTATTACGAATGCAGGAGAAATTGCTGAAAGAGGCACTTACTCCTTTCTAATACAAACACAGAGTTCACACTGCTTCCATGCTGACGGTAAGATATTTACATTTTCCACAGGAACAGCAAAATTAACTTAAGGTCCAGTCTTATACTACTATTCTGATGCCACACAGTGACTAAGTTATTCCTCTCGTATGAAGCTACACCTTTTACTTTTAATAAAGCTATTTTCTTGTGTAGAAAACAAACTCTATCTGCAGCAGGACAGCTAAAGTGGTAAATTATCTATATAATAGGGTTACATCATTTATTCTCTATTATAGTATATAAAAGAAAAAATGGTTGCTACCTCCTCTTTCAACTTCAGAAGAAACAGGGTCCTGCTTTGATGCATCAGTTTAGCTATTTAATGAGAAGCAGAAAATACACTTTTCCTGCTTTTTTTAGTCTGTCTATATGTCCCACAATATTCACATTGATTGCTGAAACTGTATTAAGGGTAAGCAACTTCAGCTTTCTCATCATGCTTTTCTTCTAGCAGTCATAGAAAGACTCAATATAATCTCGTCACCTTGTATTCATAAGACTACTAAAAGCTCTGGCATAGATTTCTCTTGGCTTATTTGATTATTAATTAAAACCACTACAGTCACTGATGTGCAAAGTTTAGGTGTCTCCTTTTAGCGGGACTAATGTCATACACATTTCCCAAACACTGATATTTCCCTTGGAAAGTCTTTTTCTGCAGAGTGTTTTTTCCCAATTAAATTGCATTTTTTCCGGTTCTCAAAACTCTGGATTTGTTAGCCTGGTTCGTAGACAGTGTTAGGTAAGTCAAGACTTCTGCCTCTTTTCATTCTACGAAAATATTTGGAGGGGAGCTGCAGTGTTTCAAGGAGCTGCAGCAATTGAGAATCATGTTGCTAAGGTTTATTTTGTTAATTGTTTCCATATTTATGGCAAAAAATAGCCCAGAGCTCTTTGTAAAAACTGCTTTATGTCCCAAAGAGACAAAAGAAAAGTCCTTCCTTGCAAGCATTTTTGCTGTGAATATCTCCACTCATTTAGGAAAACCAAACTGCACACTACAATTTTTTTGGCTTACCACTTGCTGTGGATCCAGAGGCAGCTCCCTATATGGTGCTGGCTCCAGGGTCTCTGATTTCCTGACAGATTTTGATGTTAAGCTACTAATATTTTACATTAAAAATTATTTTAAAATAATATTTTTATGGATAACTGCTACTAGTGGCATTGTCATATAAACTTGAAAGAATGGGGGGAAATTTTATGCCCTTTTGAATACAAAAATTGCTATATTAAAATTAGTCCCTATTGTAGAAAAGTTGGAGAATTCCTGGCTGAGACTATTGGGAAGCAGTAAGTGCTGAAGGATAATAGGAACAGTGAGGAGAGAACAGCGGCAACAGCAAAGGAGTCTGTGGAAGGGTGTGGAACAATGATTGCGCAGGAATGGCTGGACAGGGTCAGGCAAACACGTCTAGTCCAACATTCTGTCTCCACCAGTGGCTACAAGTAGATACCCAGGGAAAGTCAGAACCATAACATATGGTACTTCCTAAGTATCAGCTTTCAAATTCACATGTTTAAATAAGGAAAATTATGACTAATGAGGCCATAAATCTTCATGGTTTATGAAAGCAAAATGGTCCAGAAATTCATCTAGCAGAGTACTTAGTCAAGACACACTTTGCAAAAACCCAAAATGTAATTTTCTTAAGTTCCTCACGTTGCCATCACAACTGCCAGCGCTGGATGAAACCTAATGATATTGTGGGAGAGTAGCATATTGGACGGCGAGTTACAAAACTGGTAAACTTAAATCTTGATCATGCAAATAGATCAGTGAGGGGTTTCTCACATAAGTCAAATAGACAACTGGGACCAAAGCTAAAAAAATAGTTACCCAAGCAACAGTTCTCTGATCCAAAAATGTATTTGTTTTTGGACACAGACTTAAGAAAGAATTGGAAAGTTGCAAAGATGATGATTGGGAAAGTATCTATGAGACTCTTCGAACAGAAATTGAAATTCTGCAAATGGTATGCCATTTTCATTACGTATTTTAAGTGTTTGATAGTTTTAGTTTTAAAGGTGTAATTTAAGATGATTAGTGGTGGTTTCAGATAAGCATTCTTTTGTACTATGTACACAGCCAAACATCTTTGCATTGCAGGTGCATTCCAATCCTCGTTTATTTTAGCCTATTATTTCCATATGTCCAGAAATATCATTTCTCATAGAAAAGGAAAGCAGAGAAAAGAATTTAAAGATATGTTTTTAGCACAAGAAAGACCTATTTGGGGGACTAGTACTAATAATTAGTTTCTTGAAAGCCACAAAAGATTATGCATTTAGGAGCTAAATTAATCTTTACCTCCAGCTGTCAGTTAAATGGAAGATGGGGATATGGAGAAATAGCATCCTTTTATGAATTATTTTATTTTGTCTGTGCACAAATTCTTTACAAAAACTTATTAAAATGTGTTTTTTCTCTAAATGTCAATCCTAACTTCAAATTTCTTGATTATCAGTCTGTGTAACAATACAAAGAGAAAAAATATTTTGAGGTCCCATTTATGGAAATAAAGGGATTTTAAAGGTTCATTTCTGAGCCCCTGATTGAGCTGTCTGAAGATGCAGCTGCCACTAGCATCAACAGTAAAATAACAGTCATGGGAAATTTTTATTACTCACTTTCATGATCAGTTTCAAGTTTCTGTTGGAGGAATACAACTTACTTGTACTTTATCCATTAATTTTATCATGCTTGTCAAATTTCAGAAATTTAAAAAAAAAGTTCAATATTTGAAAACTTCTCTGTAAAGAACACAATGAACTAATTAGATTTAATTTCCTACAATTCAATTATTTCTCTTTTCCAGAATCTATCACAAAAAAAGTCTTCAGACAAGTGAATAACATGTGGCATATGATGTAGAATGTCATAGAAGCTAGTCTTTGAGTATTTTAAAACCATTTCACCCAGGCTCTATCAGGTTTGCTTCTATTTTTTTATTTGATCAAACCACAGTTGGTGTCTGCCTTTACTTTTCATGAAAATAAAATTTTATTAATTTAAAAGTGGTGGGTTTTTGTGTTTTGTTTTCAAATTCAGCAGCTAGCTATCTTTAGTTTCCTCTTTGTTGCCAATGAATGGACGGTACATAGTCCACTACACATACAGCTGAGTTCTCATATTACCATCTCTATTCTCTATGTACTATTTTTTTAGAATGAACACTCTCCTGTTTTTAAGGTCACGTGATGTGGTATTAGTTGAGAGGAAGACTGCTATTGCCATCAAGAAATACTCAACAGGAACTGCGGCTATTTAGTTAATACCTTGACAATGCAGTCCTGTAACAAGCTCTCTGAAACGGCTCAACTCCAGCAATTCTGCATGATAGTCCAGAATTGTTTCTACACCTACTGATGAGTAGATGCCTCCATTGATGGTAAGCCAGTCTGTTACTCAGCACTTGTCTTCTGATTACATGAGAAGTCTTCTTTTCCTCGTCTCCTACAACTCACAAAATACTGAGTGATAGCTTCAGCAGTTGATGGCAAAGATAAAACCGTATTGTAAATAAAAAGTCCCCATTTCTAGAGAATTGGCAAAGAGTTTCCATTGAATAACGGACTCTATTCGTTCAAGCATGTAGGACGTGTAACTGCCACAGCAGTTCACAACCCCACAGCAGGAACTGACTTTATGATTCAGGTGCTCACAATAGGACCATGTAAAAACATTCCTTCTGCTCAGCCGCAGTCCACTCTGCAGTCATCATCTCATCGCATCCAACTGTGTGTGCAAATAGATTTCAATCTGCTTCCCATCCGGGGGGTGGGATGGATAATGGGTCTTCGGTAGTTTTTCTGACCTCAAGCTCTCCAAGCTACAGTGGGAGTCTGTCACACATATAACTGCAAAAGATGTTTTATTAAGAAGGGAGGAATAAATTGCTTTTGGAAGCTGACCAAGTTCTGCCTGCGATGGAGGAATTTTTTTCCTCTTGAGACACAGCTGCAGTCTGGCAAGGTTTGATCTGTAGCACTGGTATCAAAGAGTATTCTGATCCACTGGGTTAACTAGGATAATTCCAAGAAGTTGGAAATATAGTTCCTAATAATCAGTGCTGTTGGAGCTGACATCATTTTAAGGCTTTTTTTTTTTTTTTTTTTGTCTCTTTCCTAAAAGAGGTCATCTTAGGATGTACTTGATTTTAAACAGCTTAGTCCCTCTGACTTGTAGGGGACCACCTGACTCCTTTAAAGTTAGGCAACTACTGCTGGTGAGTTTTGATGAAATCCAGGGCATACTGCAAAATGATACAGTTGCATATCGGAGGGTCTACAGACAGCTAAAGTAGCACTATTTCTGGATTTAATTGCCTGAGTTTATCCTGATTATTTTATTGATAGAAGGGACCTTGCTTATGATAAGTGTACTGGTTAATCAACCAGGAAAAACTTATCTTTAAACTTTAAGTTTATCCACTTATAGTTGCTTTTATTTACAAGAATCCTTGCGTCTCTTTTGCAATGGTCTCATATTTATATAGCTGTTTGGTCCGTATAGATTAAATACTCAGATATGACATGAAACAGAATTCACTGACTGATACCAGCATTATACATATACATTTCTGCTCTTGCTATGAGCAATAGCAACCAATAACTGTCAATAAATAATAAAAATCCATGTCCCTAAGTGGCTAGAAAAAACATCTGGGGAAAAGAAATATGGTAAGCCCTTTTCAGAGATACTTCAGATTCCAGGAAACTAGCTGCAACTTCAGCTTTTTGGGGAGTTTTGTTTGTTTGCTGGGGAGATGTTTTGTTTTTAATACCTGTGAACCATCTAAGTTCTTGATTATTGTAGTAGAATTACAGCATAAATATCACAAAATTTGTAATAACTCAAATGGCTAAAGCTCTCAGAATCGATGTAACAACAAAACGAGAATAAAGCTTACCAAAAAAAGTGAAATAGAAATCAATACAAATCCTATTGGGCTAAACAAACCCCTCAACAGCTCTGAAAAAATATGACGCCAGACTTAACCAGCTGTTGCAGGGTGAATGTAAAACACACTGATTTCTCCAAGTATAAAAATACATTTGTCACCACTGTCTTATGACTAATGTAATTTGGGATCAATATAATATTTCTGTTTGGAAGACTCAAAGAAAAAATTGAGCAAAAGTTCGTGTTTTGGGAATTTTCTTTAAAATTCTCAAACCAGGGATGATTATTCTTTTAAATAATTAGTGCAAAAGAACCAAATCTTTTGTCATGTTTAGTAAATACGTTAAAGAACAGAACATTGCCAAATTGGCATGAAAATACACACAGAGTTGTTATGAAAAAATAAATTCACAGGTAACATAGTAAGAAATATTTTGAAATTATAGATCATGTATTATATACTTTGCATATGAGAGTCTAACAGAACTTCTGAGGCCAGAGGAAGTAATTATCCATTTTTATGAACACAGAAGGATTAATCAGAGCCATAGAAATACTTGAAGCACTTAGTAAGAAGGAGGAAGACAGCCCAAGAAAAAGGTTATTTTTCTAGAGAAAAAAAGGTACAGGGAAAACTATCCATGCTTCTGCACTGGACCTGGGAACAGCTGCTTTTTAGGATCAACAGATAAAAACTCCCTCATTGTTGAAGAGAGACAGAGAAATACTTAAGATTACTAAATTTACCTGGTATGGGTTGAGATTTGTCAAGCGTCAAGCCCTACATCCTTCACAAAAGACTTGCTGTGACCACATACCTAAGACCCAGTTGAGCAGCCTGATTTTTTCTCATCAAATCACAGGTCTCAACCACAGTTTGTAAAAGACACTTCCCAGTATCAGCTTAATGCAAGTAGATTATTGCAAAGGAGAATCCAAGATGCATTTGGAAAAAAAAATCTAACAGGAATGTAATTAAGCCAGGCCATGGACCTGAGAAGGCTTGGGAAAAATCACTGGACTTTCAAAAAGAGTTTACCAGCTGGGGTGAGTAAGTTCTGATCACAGAAGCCCAAAAGAAAAAGTCCGTTAAACCCTGAATCTGCAAGATTGTGGGTTTACAAATCAGCCTTAATAAATTTGAAGGTAGAGCAAGGACAACTCAAGGTTAAGAGCAAAAGAAACTGGAAGATATAATAAGCCAAAGTTATGGTCAGAGGCCATGCTGAGGAGCAGAAGACACAGGAACCTCAATAGCCAACAAGGCAGCAGACTGAACATGAACTGCAGCAAGGTTATGGCTTAACTGTGTAAAAAGTACCCCCATGACCTAATGTTACCTACCCAGATATGTACCTATTGAATCAACAGCTACAACTGGGACACAAAAAAAGAAAAGGAACCAAAATGCAAACATGTTGTGTCTTATAAAAAGGAGTTAAGCTACCACAATTTCATTTTATTTATTATTAATAGCCAATTCATGATTACTAAGGAAACCATTACAATATCTGACCACAGAATAAAATTAAGTTTAGCTAATGCAACAGTACCCACACAAATTACCTCTAATGGTTTGATTTAAATATGATTGAATTGGTGATAGTGCCAAATTAATGTTATACATTGAAGGACAGCAAGAAATAAAGAATAAGTCACGCTAAAAAAAAAGTACCTGTAACTGAATGACGGACTGAGTCAGTGAGAAAAAATGCATATGTATGACCTGGGACAAAATATCAGTTGAGGTCACACATCCTTGTTCAGGTGATCAAGCTTCTGGAGTTCTTGGTCACAGAGGCAACTGACAGTCTCCAGCTACAGGGCTGGTTGCCTGTGTAGAGGTGACAGTGTGGCAGTTGTCTAGTCTAAAAAATTAGACCCCAAGGGAAAGGAATATTTGTTTTCAAAACCTGTGACTGAATTACATGTATAGATCAAAAATGGATAGGAATAGTACCTGCAAGGCCAACCCCTGCCGCAAAGGTATAGTGGGGAACCTGAGAGCACAGATCCCATGAGAATGATAACAGAGGAAGACGAGAAAGGGAAGACGTGTTCCAGTGCCATCTCCCTGGTTAAGGATGCCTTGGCTGAGCAGCATCGCTGCCTATCTGTGGCAGATCCTCCCTGTCCTCTGATAGAAAAAAGAGCCCTGCTTTTGAATTTGCCATTCACAGCATTTCTGCTGCAGATTCAATCAAACAGAGTGTTAGATCTTACTGTATAATGGGGGTTAAATACATTAGAATTTTGAAGTGCTCTGTGTATGTATTCTGTTTGGATGTTTTCTGCTCTAACTGAAACCACGGCATCCAGTCAGAATAAATATGGATGAAACAGTCAGTGTCATCATTGTCATGCTGGTCCAAGTTTAAACTCATGCTAACTCAGAACACTAGCTCAGGTGAAGAGCAAGCCAACTGGCTTACCACAGTCATCTGCAGTTTGACAGCAGTTTGTAACATGAGAAACTATTTCACCATTGACTGAGCTGAAGTAACAGATACAGACCTGACCTGAAGCTTTAGTAGGAGAAAACACCTCCAGGTGATTTCCATGAGAAAGATACCAGGTTTAGCGGATATGCTGCACACCCATTGCCAAGGGTGACAATGCAATAAACAGCCACTACAGTGCCAGTCCTCTGCTCTGAATTAAATGTGATACTACAGTATGTTAACTGGGTAAAGGATCAGATTCAACGTCTAACAATCTACACCTTGGTTGTCAACAGAGTATTTGAGTAGTAGCGCTGCTTCCTTTACTGATTGCAGCTGACATGCAGTGCTTATGGATTCTAGTGATAGTCCAACCTTCCGAATTCCCATCATTCTCTCTGTGTCTGACAGGATTTGTCATCCCCTTATCCAAATGAAGTTTGTAATTATTTGTTGCTCATTTGGTGAATTTTTGGGACTGATTTTTATCAAGATTCTAGAGTTT